CATGAAAGACAAAGAAAGACAGGAACTGTCACAGGTAAATGCAATTTGTATCCTGGATTGGATCCTGGACCAAAAAAGGACATTAATGGGAAAACTGGCAAAATTCAAATAAGGCTTACAGAGTAATTATCATCATGTAATGATGATAATTTTCTGTAGCATTTTTGTAACTTTTCTTTAAGTAAATGTATTTCAAAATAAAAAGCTGGGTTTGTTTTTTTTTTAATTGGGGTATAGTTGTTTTACAATGTTGTGTTAGTTTCTACTGTACAGAGAAGTGGAGTTCCCCGTGCTATACAGCAGGTTCTTAGTAGTTATCTATTTTATACATATTAGTATATATATGTCAATCCCAATCTCCCAGTTCATCCCACTCCCCACCCCCCGCTTTCCCCCCCTTGGAAAAAGTTGGGATTTTAATGCAACATTTCTGGCCTGAGATGTTACTTTCAACTCAGTTGTGAAAAATGACTCATTGTTGGCTAGCTATTATAAATTTCCTATTAGGAGAGGCTATCAAATAATGTCAGATTCACAATCTTAAATCCCAGCTCTTACAGTGCATACTGAATTGCAGAAGACACAGCAAGAAAACAAGTCAATGATGAAAAACACACTTGCTAAAAACCACACGGCACGCTGTTAACAAAGAGATATGCCTTTAAAATAAAAAAGAACATTCTGATCATAAAGCGATGGCCCACAGCACAGCTAAAACAACTTGAAACATAAAATGTCAAGAACTGGACAAAACCAGTCAACACGTGATAAGGTCATGACTTGATGAATTTCTGTGGTGTTCAATTTTTACAAGCCTGGTGAGAAAGGTTTGCTATTAGCTAAAGCTTGGATTGGTTCTGGTACATACCCTGATTTCAAGTCAGTTATCCTCAAACAGTTTGTAGCATCCAGTCCCACTTTCCCATTGCGGACCACGCTAGATATGAATGGGGAGAGCATTGGAGAAATTCGGTTCAAGGCCACTTCCGGAGACATTTTAACTTGACTTGCAGATCACCACTGAAAGGAGAAGGAAAGAATGATGATCAGAATATCCAAAGGAAGGAGATATAACAAGCTTCCTGGAAACTAGCACAGCACACAGAAGTATCTCTTGCATGATACCTTATTTCCTGTCTTAGAGCAGCCTCTTCAAATGACCCCCTGGAAGAACCTATCTCCCTACTGCTCACCTATTCGGGACGCAGACGTTTCAGGAGCAGCAGCAACCCCTGAAATCCAATTTCCTCCCCCTTTCCAAAGCCAATTTCTACGTTGCCTCACTGTACTTAAAAGCTGTCCCACTCTATCTTACAATTGGCAGGTCCTACTTTAGTTGAAGCCTCAAGTCTTCACTGACAATCCTCTTCCGCATCACACAAAACGCACACACCACTAGGTTAGGAATCCCTCCCTCTGTGTCCCCACAAAGAGTAAGAACGTGATTGATAAAACTACGTAAAATTCTAGAAGCAGCATATCCTACTTGCAATTGTTACTTACTAGAAATTATTTACTTCTGCTATACCTCCCTTAATTACTTCCCCTCCACAGTGTATTATAATTACCTGCTTAGTGATCTCTCCCCTGCAGAACTGTCTTTTTTTTTTTTTTAATAAATTTATTTATTTATTTAGGCTGCGTTCGGTCTTGGTTGCTGCGTACGGGCTTTCTCTAGTGGCGGGGAGAGGGGGCTACCCTTTGTTGCGGTGCATGGGATTCTCATTGCAGTGGCTTCGCTTATTGCGGAGCATGGGCTCTAGAGTGCAGGCTCTGTAGTTGTGGTGCACGGGCTTAGTTGCTCCGCAGCATGTGGGATCTTCCTGGACCAGGGCTTAGAACCCATGTCCCCTGCATTGGCAGGAGGATTCTTAACCACTGCGCCATTAGGGAATTCACCTGCAAAACTATCTTGAATCCCTAGTGTTTAACAAAAGTACCTGGCACACACTAAGCACCCAATAAACATCTTTTAATAACTATGTGAATAAGGAGACAAAAGCTAGAGAAATGTTTAGGTATGAAGAGAAGACATTATGCCCTCAAAAAATCTGGTAGAAGATAGCATATCTGAGATGTGGCAAAAATCTACTTAACAATTAAATCATGAAAGCACACACCTATCCAGATATTAAGCAACACAAACTAACATGGATCTAAAAGTTTTTGACTTTAAGGCACTAAGAAGTTCTTAGACTTGAAAATACAAAAGTAAAAGCAATAAATCATCTCTAAATTACTTGGAAACCCACGGGGCTGGAGGAGGGAGTACCTGAATTCCTCTTAATAGATTTCTAAATGAAAGCCTCCACTTTCAGAGGTGAATAAGTCAATTTAAATGATCATTTTCTTCCTCGATCTGAAAGGATAATCCCACATCAAAAGCAAATTAATTTCCTGCAAGTTACAATTACAGGTAAATGATGTTCTCGTTCTAGTTTTCATATATTATGCCATATGAGGCTTTACAGCTCCCTGCTAAACGTTGAAAACTAGTACCTGTTTTAATCACTTCAGAGTAGTAATAAAGGGCAGAACTGCAGTGATCTTTCAAAAAATAATAACACTGTGACCCTACATAGTGATGACACCCAGAAGTACCTCTGAAGCAGAAAAAGCTTTATACTTTAGTACTCAAATCATCCTTTCTGCAAATATAAAACGACCTCCTCTTCCGACCACTTAACAGATGATCTTCCTCCACCATTCCAATATTTCATCACAAAATAAGAATAAACATCTAATGCACTGTATTCAGTCATTAAAATCATGTACATTTTCATAACACTTTATCACTTATAAAGAGCTTCCATATACATTAGTGCAGTGGACCTTCACAACTCTGGACGGTAAGGCATATATTAGAATTCCCATTTTACAGATGATATGGATAACTTTTATAATTTGTCTTTTAATAGTATACTAGACCATATTATCACTTTGAAGTCTATTTTTTTCCTATTCTGCAACATTTCCACTTTTATTTCTACCCACTGATGTCACAGTTCTTGAAAGGATGCTTATCTAGATCATATGCAAAACAGAAATACTCATCTTGGAAAAAGCAAAAGGACCTTACCTACATTACAAAATTATTCTTCCATGTATTTCCCCACAATACCTATTATTATTTGACCTCTCATTTCTATGAAAAAGGGAAACAGAACCAACACATTCTGAAAATCTACTGAGTATCAAGCACTATATTATACATCTCTATCTGTAATTTCATTTACTTCCCAATAACTACCTTGTTCTCTGATTAGTATTATTGTTCCCATTTCACAGATAAGAAAACTAACGCTCGGCAAGACTAAGTAACTTGTTCAAAGTCACAAACCTAGCAAGCAGAGGATCGGAATTCAAATTCAGATCTCTCTCAAAGTCCACTATACTCATCTTCTTCTCAAATAAACATAACTTCAATCACCAAAGAGAAAAGCATCAAAGTGAATTTATGTTTCTTTTAACACATACATCTAGTAAAATGAACAAAAAGTCATGAATTTAAACTAATGGTTGCTTGACAACTAGAAAAAATTAGACTACTCTTGGCCTACTGCTGAAGCTGGCCTGAGTGATTCACTAGGCAAATGCTAAAGGGAACAAACCTGCTCCAGAAACCAAACTATACTTCAGGTGACAACACCCCATCCAATTCAGCAACTCTCATGACCTTAGAATGACACCTGAAGGAATGAATTTGTCTTTGTTTCCAGAACAGCCATAATACTATCTTTTGACAGTGCAAGATTTCATGCAGCATTAAAATGTTTCAACCGTAGCTGTTGTGACTTCTCTGAGGGAAAAAAAAAAAAACCTGACTCCAAAATCAGAGGTCACCGAACAGCCAAAAATGATGGCTGTTTGGCATTTGAGCCAGGGACACGGATGAGAGATCACCCCCCAGTAGTAGCTTTTACACATCAAAGCACAATAATAGATCCCAGATAGTCAAAATTTTACGGTGGCCAGCCTCCCTTGAATGCCAGTTGTGCATTTTCTACTTCCTGATTTTGACGTGTAACATACACAAGGAAAATGCAAAAATACAATTTTTACAGGGGTCTGCTGCCTCAAGATAGGGTCACATGAGGTCCTCTGATGGGTAGTCTGGGGAATACAAAGACGTCTAAAGCATCGCCTAGTTTCTTGCAATTAAGATGGGATGACAAACACGGAAACATGTGCCCAGCTTACGTCATGGAACGGAAAGGGGTGGCGTCCTGCTGCGTCACGTCGACGTCATACAGCGCACGAGGGAAGTTACACTGGGGAAGCAATTTCTCCAAGGGGCAACATTCAAGAAAAACAAGTCGGCTCGAACCCAAAGAATGACCACCCCGCTCTAAAAGGGAACAACTAAAAGGGGACGCTCTTCCTTCCCCCAAATTGTATGATTCCCTCATCAGGCGGGAAGGAGGGAGTCTGAGCTTATTCAGGGACCAGGGGGCGGGCTAAGTGTGGAGAGAGCAGCCTCTGGCCTTGGGGGCTCGTTCTTGAGGGGACCAGCGTCATGGGGATGAGCAGGGCATCTTTGGAACAGGGGCCTTCTCTATAGGAAGAGAAGGCGAGCCCTGGGCATATTTAAACCACGGTCCTCAGCGCCACCTGTGCGACTCGGGATCCAACCTCCCCGCACCAGCCCCAGTCCAGGTACCTGGAACTTAGTCCGATCGGTAACCGGCGACTGCGTGGGGGTACAGGTTACCCGAGCGCGCCCCCGACCGACGCACCAACCTGCGCGCGCACCGCGGGCCAGATGCGTGCGCGTCCCCGGACGTCCCGCCCCGCCCCGTCCCCTCTGCGGCCCAGGAGCCGGGCGGCGTGCGCGTCCCCGGCCGCACCAGGCCGGGCGCTCGGAAGGGCGTCCCTGTAGTGCCTGAAAGTTCCTTCCTCCGCGCCTGCCTCGTGTGCGGCGAGCTGCGCGGAGCGTGGAACGATTAGGAGGGCTGTGTAACGAGATGCTGTGCAGGGAGACAATTCCTGGGAGAACTGGGGGCAGTAGGTGGGCGGGGTTATTTCGGGCATCCAGGTGGGCGACCCTCGTGGGCGTCCGGAAGGCCCGCGGCGTTAGGGAGCTTGGGAGCTGGGTCTCTGGTTACGGTGTCGGGCAAAGGTTAAAGGGCAGCCTCCAGGTGGGAGAGCGCCGACTGCGCAATGGCCGCGTCTGGGGAGCCCGGGAGGCAGTGGCAGGAGGAGGTGGCGGCGGCGGCGGTGGTGGTGGTGGTGGGCTCCTGCATGACCGACCTGGTCAGGTTAGTCCGGGGCCCTCACGCAGAGTCTGCGGCTGGAGCGAAGGGCGGACTGCGCTCTCTCTTCTCACTGCTTTGGCACTGGGGCTTTGGGGATGTTGACTTGTGGTGTGAGCTCCAGGTTTCCGCAGCCCGCAGCGTGCCTCGATAGAGTAGAAGAGGCAGGGTTTGAGTTTGTAAACGTAACTGTCAGATGAGGGAACGTAAAGGCCGGGCTGTAGGGAAAGCTCTAGTGTAACTAGCAGCGCCTCCAAAGACCTGCTCCTGTTTTCTTGACCAGACTGCTGAACTCTCCTCTGGCTAGCCGAGTGACTTTGGCCACGTCATTTTACCCCCGAGAATGTGCCCGCCTCACAGCGTTGTTTGAAGGCTGAATGAACTAAAGTGTTTTGAGCTATAATATTATCCAGATTGGGTATTATTCGTGTGAACGTGTATAAAATGAGTGGAGCAGAGGTCAAAATTTTAGGCGGTCATCTTTCACCGTATTGATTGTTGGCTTTCCCGCATTTCATCTTTACCGCATATTTTTCACTATTAGAGTAACCATAGGTTACCTATGGCAAACCAAGTGTGAGTCAAAATAAAAATCCGTAAGCACAATATTTACAACCATTAAAAAAATGTGATCAAATAAACAAAATATGCTAGATGAAAATAGTTGAGTTAGGTCAGTGAGATTGGATGAAGAGATCTTCCCAATTTATCTTTTTTTTTTTTAATGAAAATGGCTTTTTTGATTGTAAAAGCAATGTTTATTTATTATAAAGAAAAAAAACATATCCCAAGAAATCCTACCATTCAGGTTGCTTCAGTTTAATTTTTTGGTGAGTGGCATTTTAGATATAATGCTATTTTTATATTATAAAAATAAAAAATGATCATACTACAGTAAGACTTTATCTGTCCTGCAACCTTCCTTTTCCAAAGGATAGCCGAGAACCTGGAAATACTAAATAAAAAGGCCTTGGGACAATCAGAATAAGTCACCAAATCCCTGCACTAAACCACCTGTGTTTTACTTAGAAAATAGTTTTAGGGCCTTCACATAACCAACTTAATCTTACATTGCTTAAAATGTTTATAAACTAGGTTATCACAATTCCAGACCGAGATTAGAAAGGTGGAAATTAGAAAGGGGGAGAGACTGCAAGGGGCAGGTATAGTAATCACCAAAAACTTGGAAGTGAGGAGAGTGTATCAACAAACAACAAAAGAGTTTTAAATGCCAAGAGCCTGGGGGAATTCCCTGGCGGTCCGGTGTTTAGGACTCTGCCCTTCCACTGATGCGGGCCCAGGTTCAGTCCTTGATCAGGGAACTAAGATCCCACAGGTGTGCAAGTGTGGCAAAAAAAACACAAAACACCAAGAGCCTTTTTTTTCCCGCAAATATTTGAGCTACATTGTGCCAAGATAGATGTGCTTCCTTTAGTGACAGAACATAAAGTCCAATCTAGTTCTGGACATTTGGTGAAGAGGCCTACACATCTTTCTCTAGAGCTAGAGTCAGCAAACCTTTCTTCAAAGAGCCAGATAGTAATTATTTTAGGCTTTCTGGGCCACATTTGGTCTCGGTCACATATTCTTTTTTATTTTATTTTTTTAACAGGTACAGAATGTGAAAACTATGCCTTACAAAATCAGCCTGCAGGCCATAGTTTGCTGACTACTGTCTAGAGCATCACTGTCTGACAGCTCACTATAGTAATTGATGTTACTAGCGATGACTCTTTTCAAGAAAAGGGAATATGATTATCGTTAAATTTTATTTACAAATGGGGCACGTATTTTATTTTAGAAATAGTTCCATCAAATATACTTAAAATTTAGTTACATAAAGGAATAAACCTTCAGATATCTAAAATAATTCATTCCTTAGAAAATCCATCTAGTTAAAATTTTACCATAATTCTATATGTGAAGTACAGAAGAGAAGGAAAGCTAAATAATTTTCCCACCCTACCTGAATAAGAATGCCAGGGTTAGAATTCAGAGCCACCTTCTTGTTAAACTAAGTCAGAGCTTTCTGTGAAGCTTGACCATCACACATTAACAATAATTATAGTACTTTCTAAGATGAATACTCTTCAAACTTTGGGGAGGGCAGGGTCTCAAATGACCATGTTAGCATCTGTCAGGATTTAAAAGCTTATTTCAGAGCTAGAGGAATTTAGAGATTATTTATAATCTCTAAATCTCTTCAGTTTATAGATGAGTAAAGTGAGGTCCAGAGAAGAAACTCTTACATTGTGGATAACCTTTCTTTTTTTTTTTTAATAAATTTATTTTATTTATTTATTTTTGGCTGCATTGGGTCTTTGTCGCTGTGCAGGCTTTCTCTAGTTGGGGTGAGCAGGGGCTACTCTTTGTAGCGGTGCGCGGGCTTCTCATTGCAGTGGCTTCTCTTGTTGTGGAGCACGGGCTCTAGGCGTGTGGGCTTCATTAGTTGTGGCTCGCGGGCTCTAGAGCACAGGCTCAGTAGTTGTGGCTCACGGGCTTAGTTGCTCCGTGGCAAGTGGGATCTTCCCGGACCAGGGCTCAAACCTGTGTCCCCTGCATTGGCAGGTGGATCCTTAACCACTGCGCCACCAGGGAAGTCCCTGGATAACCTTTCTAATTTCTCTTCTCTTGCCATTTTCTTTCCTTTATAAGATATCCAGGTTTCTATTCTTCACATGAGTCACTATTAAAACTTTTATTCCCCTATAGATTCTCTCCCACGACTTTGCTAACAAACTTTTCATGATTTCTCTTCTGATTACTTCTGCCTCTGAAGATCTTTACAAAATACCTGAGTATAGGATTTTTATTTAAAAGCCTGCTTCTATGATAAACTTGGGTCCAACTTCACTGGTTATGGTACATATCATGATTGTATTATTTTTCTATTGTTTCTGTAACAAATTACCACAAACTTAATGGCTTAAACAATACAAATTTAATACTTATAATTCTGCAAGTCAGAAGTCTGACACAAGTCTCACTGGGCTAAAATCAAGTTGTAGGACTGCGTTCCTTTCTGGAGGCTCTAAGGGAAATCTTTTTCTTGCCTTTTCTAGCTTCTAGAGACTGCTCACATTCTAGCTCATGGCCTCTTCCTCCATGTTCAAAGCCAGCAATGGCATAACTCTGACACTCACTCTTCTGCCTCCCTCTTCTACATTTTAAGAACCCTTGTGATTTCATTGCGCCCAAATGGATAATTCAGGATTATCTCGTTATTTTAAGGTAGCTTATTAGCAGCCTTTATTCCCCCCTTACCATGTAACATTACGTATTCACAAGTTCCGGGGATTAGGATGTGGACATCTTTGAGGCAGGGTTGGTCTGGGGGTGGGGCATAATTCTGCATACCACAGTGATTAAAGTCAAAAAATCTTATAATACTTAGAGCTTGGAGAATCATTGAAGCCTAGCAGTCCATCCTCCACATTTTACAGATGAGGTAATTAAGAGAGGTTAAATGACTCACCCCAAATCATACAGCCAGTTAGTGGGAACCCAGGTTTCTCATTCTTTTTTTTTTGTCCTTCGGTATGCAGGCCTCTCACTGTTGTGGCCTCTCCCGTTGCGGAGCACAGGCTCCGGACGTGCAGGCTCAGCGGCCATGGCTCACAGGCCCAGCCGCTCCACGGCATGTGGGACCTTCCCGGACCAGGGCACGAACCCGCGCCCCCTGCATCGGCAGGTGGACTCTCAACCACTGCGCCACCAGGGAAGCCCCTCAACCTTTATCTTTCCATTGTATCATTGTACCTCTAACTCTGGCTCATATTTATTGCCCTTTTCATGTACAGTTCATTTAAGGGCGTATAGTCTGTGCATTCATTAAGTGTTTACTTTGTAAAATGGCAAGGAATAACAACTTTATAATGTTCAAGGAATAACAACTTTATAATGTTCAGATCTAAAGATAGTATCATCATTACTGTTCCTTACTTCCTATCTAAGTTTAACCATAACCAGCCTGGACACCCATGCCTATACTGTAAAATCACTTCAGAAATAAAACTACTTCAATAACTTAGCCCTCTTGGATGGCATCCAAGTCCAACTCACTTTATATATTACATTACTGTGTGCCAGACACTGCTAATTCAATCAATGAGCAACTTTTTTCATTTCTAATTTCAGTCCACTATGAATAGTAAGCTCTATGTACTAATAACTTTTAAAAATCATTAGCTCATCCAACATGACAAACAATGAACATTATTTAATACCCACCTGTATTTATCATTATTCTCTTCCTCCTCGAACAGTCATCTCTGAAGTTCCACATTGCAGAGATAAGAGAAATCAAGTCTGTTCTTGTGGAAAATTAAGTCAAAGTTCCTCCAAAGACAGATTCCCATGAGAACCTAACAACAGATGAAACTTTTTAGACGTTAGGCTCATAGACCTTGGTTAATCATGCTTTCACTAATCTTTATTTCTTATGACATGTGTCACCCATTTTTTAAATTATTCAGCAAATATTTATTGATTTTATACCATGTGCCTCTGGACTTCCCAAGGTGCAGAGGATACAGCAATGAAAAACACAGCAAAAAATCCTTGCCTCATGGAGCTTACATTCTAGTGGAAGAGACAGTATCAGTTAGAAATAAGTAAAATACATTCTCTGTTAGATAAATGCTGAGGAGGAGAATAAAGCATGAAAGAGGGATGAAAGTAGTAATTTTAGATCATTGGCCACAGAAAGCCTCACTGAGAAGGTGATTTGAGTAAAGACCTAAAGGAAGAAAGGAAGCAAGCCATACAGAGAACCAGAAGAAGAGCATATGCAAAGGCCCTGAGGCAGGAGCAGACCTCTTATTATCAATGAACTACAAGGAGTCCAGTGTAGCTGAAGAAGAAAATAAGGGAGAGGGGAGGGCAATTGATGGTTAAAGGACATTGGGTCCTACCCTGGATGAAATGAAAGGCCAGTGGAGGGTTTGAGCAGACAAGTGACATAGTATGACCCGCAAGGGCACAAACAAGGAGACCAGGTCAGAGTT